TCGTAACTTTACAAACATTCGTTATGATGAAGTTAAAAAGCCAAAATACCTTTGTTAATATCGGAGTCGATGTGGTAGTTGTTTTTGTATCCGAAATACGGATTCCGTATCCGAATTTCGTATTTCGGACTTAAAAAAAACTACCATCAACTCCCATATAAATGTACTTTGCTTTTTACCTTCAATATAACGAATGTTCGTAACGGAATTTCGTATTTCCTGCCTGTGTATTGTAATGCGACTCTCAGCAGCAGCGGATCCGTATTTCGGATTAAAAAAAAAATCTTGTCATGTTGTTCAACCTCATTTACAGGGGTAATATTAGTTCCCGTTTCAAAGAAATTCGGATCCGAAATTCGTTAACTGAATTTCGTATTTCGGATATAAATTCGGAAACTGCCATTCGGATTTCGTATGCTTACGAATCTACGAATTTCAGGAGAATGCGTACGAATTTCGATTCGTAACGAAACGAATCGCACATGTCTAATGAAGAGTGATGAGCTGCACAGTGAGATAGTTCAAGTTCAGAAGCCACGGAAGGTCCCGGCATTGGGAGCTCGTGTACAAGAAGCAGACCTTCAAGATGGCGGGAACTCTGAAGACCTAAATGAGTGTTGGGTCCCGGTGATGATACACAAAGCTCTAGCAGATATTTTCCGAGGTGCTAAGAGAAGAATGAACGTCCCGGAGGCAGCGGATCTCTTCCTGGATGAAGACTCAGCGAGTAACATCATCGGCATCTCGGGAGATTTAAAAACCGCCTCCCTGCTCGCTGCGGACGTCGACCGCCCGGCTACAGCGCAGAGGTTTCGCTGGCCGCAAATTGTATCCACCCGGGGATTTTCCTCAGGCCGACGTTACCGGGAGGTGGAGACCAGCAAAACAGGGTGGTGGGGGGTTGGGATGAGCTACCCCAGTGTAGGGAGAGGAGAAAACGAGACATTGCTTGGGAATGACAACAAGTCCTGGTGCATTGTCGTGCTTGGTGACGTCTATAGTGCAAAACATAACGCGAAGGTGATAAATTTGCCCCGCAGGGTTTGCAGGAGGAGAATTGGAGTCTATTTGGACTATGAGGCTGGGCGGCTGTCCTTTTATGAGCTGGGTAACCCCATCAGACACCTGCACAGCTTCACCGCCACCTTCTCTGAGCCCCTCCATGCTGCCTTCGTGCTCGGAAAACTTGATGGTTTGGGGTGGATTAAAATCCGGAGTTAGGAGTAACAGTTGGAAAAATCTGGCCTCATAATGGGAACTCAGCACAGGGATGGTGGGGGCCCCTCATAATGGGCACAGCGAGGGTACAGACCCGGGAACTCAGCACAGGGATGGGGGGAGCCCCTCATAATGGGCACAGCGGGTGTACAGACCCGGGAACTCAGCACAGGGATGGTGGGAGCCCCTCATAATGGGCACAGCGGGTGTACAGACCCGGGAACTCAGCACAGGGATGGTGAGGGCCCCTCATAATGGGCACAGCGAGGGAGACTTGCCGCTGCTCTCCCGCGCCGAAGGTAAGTGAAAAAGAAAAAAGAACCATAGCGCAAACATCGGGGCATTTTGACAAGTACAAGTACTTGTCAAAATGCCCTGTTTTTACAGGGGGTCGGTGTCGGGGGGATGGGGGGCAAAAATGCACCTTGCCCACCTTGCCTAGAATCCTAGCACCGGCCCTGGCCCCGGATCTTCTTCTGAGTGCCCCAATTATCATTGATTGACAATGGGTTAAAGGGTGGTTCTGTTGCTCCTCCATGAATTGGAGCCACCTGAGGCAGGAAGTGTTGTACTGGCAGGATCACCAGGTGAAAAGGAATGAAAAAAGCCTAAAAGAAAGAAAATTAATGCAACCAGCACATCAAATGACTGCAAGGTATGGGGGGGGGGCAATGCTAACACATCTAAGGACTGGAAGG